TAACAACATCGAACAATATTTATGTTTTGCCATCGATCGAACACAATCGAAGTGAAAATGATGAATAATTGAAATGATTCAAGCAACATGAAAGCCGCTTGCTTATAAATCAAATGCGTCTGCGTGTTCCGACAAATCGACAACGAACCGCAGAAAGAACGATCAAATCAGAACCAACGAAAGAAAGAGATCGCTACATTTAACCGTTGTATTATCTATATGTGTGTGGTGTATGTAAAACGTACATAAATGCTGTGTCACTCTTTGTCCACAAGATTTTGCCGAAGCGATTGCGATTCCAGATAAATAAAGAGAGAGTTAATATGACAAAAAGAGAATGCCAAAAATGGCAAAATCACTAAAATATGATATTCAACTGTCCAGAATACGACAAACAAAATTAAAATAACATCGTACATGCATGCTTCTCGATTCAAATTGATGGAATGAAAATAATCCCATTAAAATTTGATCTACAAGAGAATGCAACAGTGCATTTGCACCAAATCATTGATATCAATTGACATTTCTTTTTATCTTCTCATCTGTACTCTTATCAACTCTCGATGGGCATTCCGACAACATATTTTTCCCGTTGGAGAATGAATTTCGAGAGCGAACAAAAATCAAAAAAGAAAAGAATGGATTCAATTCAACTGAGTTTAGGCACCGTTTCAAATTTTTTTCCTCATTCTTGAGTTCATCGAAATAATGCACTGCATTCATATCATAAACGCATTCACATTATCTCCGAAGTCACAGTATGCCAAAGATTGCCTTGATACATGTGTGTGATCACACAATTAAATCAGAGTCAGTCAACAATGTTGTCGTCTAACTATCTGTCATGATATCTCGTCGAACTGAATTTTTGTTGTTGTTGTTGTTTTCGTCAAGTGCACGATCTGAAAATCTAGTTCTTTTGTCCCGTTGATTCAAAAATGACATCGAGAAATATTTTTCGCGTAAAGTACCTGATAAAATGTTTCGACCCGCCACAGTAATGATCGTTTAAATATTTTTTCTCGTCTATCTCTCTTTCTCATCCATTTATGATCATTGTGTGTTCGTTTATCTCGTACTCGGTGTATTGAATGATTGCACTGCGACAATGGCGACCCGACCGTTGTTGTTTGTACACAATACGAAGAAATAAAACAATTTGGCTGTGGTATGTTTTCTTTTCCGCTAAATTGTTGACATGTTAACATGTGCATGAGAATGCGAGTACGGTGTGCGCGTCACGAGATTTCAATGTGTTGAAATTATGAGAACGCAATTTGCTTGTGGCGAGAAATAGATAGGGAGCATATGAACAAAAGCCAAACTCCATCCACACTCACACACACGCAAAGTAAACAAAAGACATAATTTGTTGTTTTGTGTTATGTATCTGACATGAATTCTGTCAGTTCATTCTCCAATAAATTAGTTTTTAATCGCATTTATGATTTTTGCACCGTTGCTGTCGTCGTTGTCGTCGATCGTGCAAACAGAGATCTTGGTAGCACCGCGGCTACCTGAAACATCCATTTAATGTGTACTGCTATTGCGGTGTCTCAACCTTCTGCACAGTAGCTGTTTTGTTTTACATCATCTAAGCTAAGATTTGGGTCGCGTGTGCGAAATCATAAATTTTTTTCTCTATGTGTTTTTTTTAACGTCAAGCACCCAAACGATAATAAATTGTATTGAAAACGAAGATAGAGAAAAAAAACCGACTTGAATTCAAATTGACCAGGTAGCCATTTAACACATTCGATACATTTTGGGCCTATTGTGCCAAATGAAAATGACTATGGGACAGAAGAGAGGAAAAAAAATGTATGTGACCTATGCGAACCTTAGTTTTAATTACACTCGTTTTTTTCTGCCTGCCTGCACTCTACCATTCCGTTTCCATTGTGAATTGAATGTGTCTTGAGTTATATTGAAATAAACTGCTGTTGTGTTATTGATCGGTATATGTTATTGGAGCCCGCATTCAATGAATGTCAAGCCATTAATTAGCTGTAAGCACTTTTATTCATTTTTTTTTCTACATAGACACACAGAGACTTACACACTCAGACACATACACAATCGGACAATTCAAAATAATATTCTAGTCAAGATCGAATCACGCTTGTCGATAGTTGCTGTGCGCCCGGTTACAGTTGACAAATGGTGGAAAAATAAATATCTATACACATATATATGTTCAATAGCGTACTTTGAATCTTGATCAGTGCGCACGGTCTTGGAATTTCACAGAATCATTCACAATTCATTCGAAAAAATACGACAGGGAAATAAATGACAATTCTCTCACAAACGACAGAACACAAAAAAATCCAACCAAAGACAAACAATTCTCACTCTTGGCTCATGAAGTTTGGCGGCTTGAAGTCCTTGTTGAATGGAGTTGGTTGAAAATCCGATTCCGATTCATCTGCGTAAACAGAAACATCTCACGTACATGAACTGCAATTCTGACAATGTTCGCTGGTCTGATATTTGCTTTTTCAGAGATTGTTTTGTTTGATTGCGTCGCTTTTGGCTGTCAGCACGCATGTTGGGCGGATTCTTTTTGTTGTTGCTCTCGGTTGGGTTTTCTCAACTGTGCACCTTCTATTGGAAAGAAAACAACGAGGACAAATGAACGTTTGGCGGAATTTGTTGCTAATGTGCGTGTCAGTAATTTTCGATTGCCATGGACAAAAGTATTTGCTCTTTTTTCTCTATATATTTGTCCTGCTGATTTGTATTTTTTTTTCATCAGAAGCGCGCGCTTGTACAATAAGAATTCTAATCGTTAAGCACGTAATGAATCAGAGCTTCATGAAGAAAACGAGCAAACAACAAAAAATACTTTGTCAATTGCAACAGAACGGCACAGGTGATTCAACAGGGACTTTTTTTTCTTCATCTCCAGTTTTTGTGTATGTGACATATACTCTGCACACAGAGAGAAAGAGAATTCATCAGAGCAATGATTAATTTCTCGAAACTCACTTCAATTGTCGAGTCAATATAACTATAGGTATTTATTTCCTTTTAGTTGACAGATCTTTTTTTTTCTTCATTCTTTCGCAACTCCTCTTGTTACTGTTTTCTACATTTTTGTTTTGGTCGTTTAGCGCATCGTGTTATTTTGAATAGAATCTCAATCCATTTTTCGCAATCACGTACCCAATCGAGCATTTATATTTTCTCACCGTGTGCACACACAAAAGAACATCGAATTGTTTCTCTCTAACACACTGTGTGTGTGCGTTATATTGTAAGCATTTGCCATTTAAGCGAATAGAACGTGCACCTTGGCTTGCACAATACCAAACTGATTTGGAAATGAATTTCAAACAAACATAAAAGAACAACGACATGCAGTGAGCGTGTTTGGTATGACAAAGAGCGTCGAAAAAGTGGCCCAACAAAAGTGACTAAATCACATAAATAGCAATAATAAAAAAAAACATTGAGAATGGCAACCCAGACATATAAATCTTGATCTAGAACGTAATTTGTTTTGCTCTTACTCCGTTTACTTATAAATCGATCTGGCAATCGATATTGTAAAATAAAATGCGCCATTACTCACCTATTTATATTTAAAAATTTCACTTAATTCGAGTCTTATATTCATAAACTGTGTTGACAGTATTTATATAGGACAGTGAACATAAGCAATAAATGACCAATCGAAAAAGAATATTTCACTGACACCACAGAATCACTGTTGATAAAATCATTAATCAAAGAACAAAACTGATTAAACAATCATTAAATAAATAAATGTAGACCAATACAGAAAATAATCATTTCGATGGTACAAACATAATTTAATCTCTTGGAATATCAACAGATTTAGGGCGCCAGACGTGCAACGTACACGATTTTTTTTTGATTTTGACTGCCATCCCGAGTACATCAGAATGAGATATGTGACACGCACAATCGAATACGTTCGATTTTTGGTGTAAATTACGCCATCACCATTATGACTGTTGCGATCGTGTGTTTGTATCGACAGCTGATGATCAATTTTTAGAATGAGAATCGAATGCGCAATTTGTGTGCGCGGATTTATCCATTGAATACATATGATTTTTCCGAATAAATCACTCATCGTGTTTGAAAATTTGTTTGCCAATGTGCTTGCGCTCCACGTGATTTTTCATAATTAGCATCGATACTTATGATCGCCGAACACAACATTCAATCGAATTCATAATAATCGGGAACGGCGTGAATTGGCCATGAATTTCGATTGTTTGATTAGTTGTTGTTAATATCCAAACGGTGTTTTTTTGGTACATAAAACTATTCTGTTGCTATCTCATTTTGGCGCAGCAATTTTTGGTTGCTTTCTCGCCACAACCACGCATGTATGCAAAGAACAGCATGCGCGCGAGATTGAGACGTGACTTTTGATTGTTGTTGCTGTTGTTATTGTCGTTTTTAAATGGGCAGCTAGTTACAGAAACAAACTACAACAATTACTAAATTATCGCTTTGACTTTGGTGCTGCTTGGTGCTATTTTATTGTCCAATTTCCAAATTAAGCCATAATTTACAGGCAGAACAAAAAAAAAATAAACACACTCACACACACACACACACACACACAAACAGAGCATGCAGAGAGGCCAGTCGGTGTGAGAGACAGTGAGAAAGAGAACGAATGAGTTTACCGACTGTGAGCGGTACTCGAACTCATGAAAAATGAAATAATGTTCTACGAAGTCAAATGAGCCAATAGTACAATATTATATAGGCAAAACGTGTGCACATTTTCGTAATAGAGACACGTAATCGTTTATCCATGTAACGGATAGTCATTTATATACGATTTAGACAGACGAACGAACCAGAAGATGGGAAAAAAAAAACAAACAAACAAAGAAAATACGGTAAATTTGCAGAATAAGGAAAGCATTAAATGTTTTTTAGAAACTATAACAGGAAACAATAGAAAAGTCGGGGTAAAAAATCGAATGAAAAACAAAAATGATACTTACCACATTCGATCGGCGATCGAAGTAAAATGGATTGATCGATCTCTTTTTCAGTGTTCACTTTGGCCAAATGGATCTATGTCTGTCTATTCTATATATTGTACAAAGTAGTTTCTAATGTGCATGGATTTTGTTTTCGTCTGAAATTCGTTCAGAGTAGGTAAGGGTGTACAATAGATCGACAAATGTCTACGAATCGAACACTAAGACGAAATATCTGTAAAAAAAACGAGAAGAAAAAGAAAATTAAAAAAAAAACTCATCTATAACATGTTTAAGTGTTCTGAAGTTATAAATGGGAAATTTTAATTTTAAATGGCAAGTGACCATGAATGTTCGGAAACATTAGATTTTGTTATAAGACACCCAATGCCCAATGATCTTTCTCTCGTTTTTACATACGTTTTTTTTCTCTTTCTCTCTTCCTTTCACACTCAGGCATTGTAATCATTTTTAGACAATACCATTTGTTGTCAGTTACTTTTTAAAGCCAATTTGAACATTCTTCATGAACTTATTTCATTCATTCGTTTACGTTTTTTGGATATATATTTTTTGTTGTTGGTAATCTTTCAACATATACAACATTCTTTGACGTATCCTTTGGGTAGTTCGTTTTTTTTTCTTCTCCTTATTTTGCCATTTTCCATTGCATCCTTAATTCCTGGGATTTGATTGTGTTGTGAGCACACTCACTGAGCATGCATGCCTGTGTGCACTGATAAATTGAACGGAAGATAAGCCTTGAACGAAAAATCGATTGGTTTTCTATCGAATTAAGGTTTTCTCTCAGTCATTCTTTTTTGTTTGTATGAATTTTCAGGTTGACATTTTAAAATGGACATTTTTAACTGAATTTAGCATGATGCCTATCTCTATCGAGTGTGTGTTTGTGTGCGCATATATCTCATTCTGTGTCGCTTGGCAATAACGCAATATTTACATTTGAGAAACATTGACTCGAGACACATATTGAATCGGCACAAAACGAAAAACTATACCCATACTATAAATCATTTTCGAAAAATGACAATACAACTAATGGATTGTGTTTATTTATACAGTGCGTCTGTGTTTCTCTTATCTGGATGGATGGATTTAACCTACACAACAAATTTGGTGTTTTTCCAAATGTTGTTTGTTTATATTTCTCTTTTTTGGTTTTTTTTTTTTTTGCAGCGCGCCAACGAAGGGCCAACCAATTGAAAATTGATAGAAGATAGTGTGGCATTTCCATATATGCATTGGAAATGTAAATATTTGAAAATGCGATGATGAGGTGAAATAGCATATATGTATGCACAAACACAAATGTAGACATGTATAGAAACGGCAATAGATATCGGTAATCGGCAAACGGTTTATGCAATAAATACAATATTGTTTTTGGCCGATTGTAAAGTGAAGAGGATTTTTGTTACTTTACGGCATGTGACCGTGTCTGCTGTTGTTAATGTCTGATTGAATGCATGACCATAAAAGACCCGATTATAAGCCCATTTGCTGTACATATGTGCAAAACGAAGAGCTGAAGAGAGAGAAAGAGAGGGAGCGAATGGGTGCATGCGAAAAAAGAAACATACAAAGAAACCAATGAGCAACAATGCATACTGGTTAAAGTGTGAGGAGCCGAACAGAAAATGCGGAAATGGAATAGCCAGAGTCTGACAGTGTTCGAAACGCCTAGCAACACTCAATCGATTAGTACCCTTGATGGCGACAGTCAAATCGTCGCGCGTGCATTTTTTTTGTTTTTACTGTATAATTGCCATTGCACCCATGCATATACGCCACACAAACAATATGTTCAAATCACTTTTGGATGGCACACGTTGTGCGTGTGTGTGTGCTGCGACCGATTTCGAATTTAGTCGATGGTGTTGCGTGTCTTTGCGTAATGTGTGTGGTCGGACAGACAGTACAAGTTAATAAAAATAAAAGAACCCGACCGGAGCAAATAATATGCATTTTTGATGTCATCAAAACGATCATTTCGCTCCTTATTCGTCCAATATACAAATCGACAATCAAAATCGATGATGATTGTGCTGTACATTTAAGATTGTGAGTGTGTGCTATTCAATCGGCAATTTTATCTGTGGCGCTCCATTCAGACGACACGCCGTGAGCGCACTTTTATTGATAATTCCCACATATTTAATTACCAAAAAAAATGCCTTGATCCCACATAGATCGGCGAAAATCTCTCTTCTCTATCGAATTCTCTTGGGTTCGCATACGCTCATAAAAATACGACCATTTCGATCTCTTTGTTTGCGTCAGATTGTTAATAGATTTCTTCGGGTATGTTTCTCTCTATTTTCAGGTCATAGAGAGAGGAACAAAGAATAAACATATAAAGATTAGTTAAAAGCATTTTAATTACAGTCATAATCGGGTAAATGTTTTGAGATTTCTGTTTTGATTGTATGCATTCTCATTCATATGTTCTCTCTCTATCTCTCGCTCTCTCGGTCTCTCTCGTCGATATTGTTGCTGTCATGTTTTCGTTTGTTCTTTTTTTTATTCACAAAAAATTAGCTGATGGGCATTTGATGTTGTTCAAAATCGAAATAGATAATGAAAACAAAAAAAAACTGAAGCCAAAAACATTTAATTGAAAAACAAAACAAAAAATCATAACGAGAGAAGTAGCAAAACGACGAACTGAGAGTTGAAGTTCGAGCTAGGTAACCAGGTTTTATCTTGTTCTTGCTGTTTCTCTCTACCTCGGCATCGATTTTCGATTCGATTCGTTTCTTCATCCAGATAGAGAGTGAGAGCGATAGTGAATGAGACGCCGCCCGAGTAAATGGCCAAATATTAATTATTTAAAAGTGCTATAACCTTGATTTGGTACGGCAGATTTCAATTTTGACGTCTGATGATGATGATGATATACTCTGACATGGCAAAAGATGGACAGCCAAATGGCATCGAACTTTAGGAGATAGAGAAGAGAAAAAAAAAACATTCGAAACGAACACAGTCCATTGGACAGTTCAAATGCCTACGCACTTACCATAACAATTGACATTTCATTTGAACAAAAACGAAAATCGAAACTCTGAACTAATCGTTAAATTCATTTATTGGCAATTTTGTTTTGGTTTGGTGATCATTTCATTTTGATGGAATATGACAGAAACGAATTTTTGGTGTTGTTGTCTCGTAAACACTTTGTAATTGTCATCTCAATTGATTGACGCGTTTTTTTTCATGACTTTTTTTTCGCTTTTTTCAATCCAATTTGTGCAAATACATAGAATAGAATTTAATCGCATGAGAGAATGAATATTCTTAAGACATATAAATGACACAACAACAATAAAAATAAAATGAGAAATGATCGGTGTCGTCGTACGGAAACAATAATAATTATACACATTTGCGCGAACTGTGAAACTGCTTTTTTTGACTGTTTCTCCGTCATTTCATTTTCTTTAAGTCTAATAAAAATGTTTTTATAGAAAATGTGCTATCAAAAGAGCGGAAAACGTGCTGTTGAATTTGCACGTTTCAAACAATTGACGAAACTCTAAACAAAAAATGAAATGGAACTGATGATGATATAATGTTGAAAAGTATAAACCAACTGCAGCGAAAAGGTGTTAGCGAAACAAAAGTCAATCTCAATCTCTATGTATGTTTACAAACGAGCTGAAATGTATGGAATAAAAAAGAAGACGAAGAAGAGAACAAAATATCGGCGAGTGACTTTTGTTTGGGAAAAATGGTAGATAGATATGAAAACAAAGAACAAGAATGAATTTTATATAATGAGAAGTATCCAGCAGTCAGTGGATGAATTGACAGACGAAACGAAGAAAACTAAAAGTCAAAGTAGAAAGAAAAAAAACTGTTTGGTCACAACAATGATGACGATGATGATGTTGTCGAACAACAAAACGATGACTTCTTTAAATCTATGATCGGTTTTCATACATATACGCGTACTCTCTGTATCGTTTGTATGTTTACAGAACCGAGAACTTGTGTTTCGCCTCTCGGACCCAAAGCACACTCGGTTTTTTGGTTTATTCCAATCCATTGAACATTGTTTATTTATTTCGACTTTTGTTGTTGTTGTTGTTTAGGTTTCAGTATTTACAGGGGGAGGGGAAAGTTTCCGACCTGACACATAAAGACACATAGTATTTTTAAATGAATGCATTTATTATTCAAAGTGGTCTCCCTTAACACGAATTACACTTTCATAACGATGCTTCAATGCTTTAATTCCTCCTTCAAACCATGCGGCGTCTTTGTCCTCCCAAACGTTGAAAATATCGGTAGATATCTCTTCACCGGACTCATATTGCTTCCCCTTGAGGTATCTTTCAGTATTTGGAAACAGGAAATAGTCGCTGGGGGCCAGGTCTGGTGAATACGGTGGATGGTGAAGTTGTTCAAACCCACACTCCTTGATGGCAGCTCTTGCAAGCAATGATTTGTGAGATGGTGCGTTGTCATGCAGAAGAAGAACTTTTCGAGTGAGCAAACCAGGGCGTTTTTCTCTAATGGCTTTGCGCAATCTATGCATCTGTTGAGCATAATAATAGCCCGTGACTGTGGTGTTCTTTGGAAGGAATTCAACCAATAGTATGCCTTTGGAATCCCAGAATACAGATGCCATTACTTTGCTTGTAGTAATTTGTTTGCGTGGCACTTTTGATGCTGGTTCACCACGTTTATGCCACTCCATCGTTTGTGATTTGAGCAATGGATTATAGTAGTGAATCCAGGTTTCATCACCAGTCACGATTCGATCAAATGTATCCTCTTCATTCCATTCCAACAACTCGAGAAACTCATGTGCGGCAGCAATTCGTTCTTCTTTCTGAGCTCTGTTCAAAGTTCTTGGAATCCATCGTGAGCAGACCTTTTTCATATGCAATTTTTCATGAAGTATGGTGAAAATACTTCTCTCTGAGATGTCAAACATTGCCGCCAACACTTTCTTGCTCATCCGAGGATTTTCATGCACGAGGTGGTCAATTTTTTCCACCACATCTGGAGCAGTTGCTTCAATTGGTCGACCAGAACGAGAATCATCCTCCAACGATTCTCTGCCCCACTTGAATTGCTTTGACCAGTCTTTGACCGTGGTATACGACGGAGCAAGGTCACCATAAACAGCCCGCAAGCGATCATTGATATCTTTTGGTGCTACACCTTCTTTTGTGAGAAACTTTATAACCGCACGATATTCGATTT